TTTCAACAAACGCACAACACCTATAGACASAACATACTATAAGGTATAGTACTCTGTAAATAATACATGACATGTGAATACTGTGCTTCACAAGTACTCACACACACATATTATTAAATTTTACCATTTATTATCGTCTCATACCTACGATCATCACAATATGGTTTTTCAGCGTTTTTGGTGCACGTTTCCCTATATATAGATAGCTGGTACTTAATAATAATATAATATGTGGAATATGTGTGTAATATTAAACTATTGAGTAGAATGCTCGTTTTACTACGACAAAAATATCATAACATAATAATAATAAGCGTTTAGACCAAAATAAAAATCGTTAACTTATTTTCGTTATTTTTTTTTATTTTAGCGCTAGACGAATTTACGACGACAGCACAATGATTCGTATAATATGCATTATAATTTAAAATACTAAATATTATACGAAAATCGTACGATCTATATAATAATATATTGTTTGAAATGTTATATTATAAATTTATTATAATGCATTATGGAAATATGGAAATTAAATTCGGTGCGCGTGCTATTAGCCACATATTACAATAATGCATTATTTACATTATTGTATGCAATATAGGTACACTAATATTGACTACACACAATATATAACACCGCACACGTAGGAGGAGTTTCACAATCTCTCTCCGTCATTAGCACTMTGTTCGTTCCGATAATGTCTCACGTCGCATAAAACAATACACGATGATCATATTATTATTATGTGCAATATACTCTCGTGAGTCGTGGACCTAATAATATTGGTCATGTATTAGGTATCATTATTTATGGAACGTGTAGTACGTGAAAACACAATATATTAATTTGCCTGACCTTTAAGCGCGCAATATATAATTCCATTATTTGATATTTACGTCGACACACTACTCTTACGGTCCTCGAAAACAATATAAAGATAAATAAATATAAAAACCCAACCGCCGACAACGGCGTGATGCAGACATCTGCAGAACTATAAGACGTATATACCGTAAACCTGTATACGTACCCATTACCCGGTACTCGCCGTATATGATACCTACACATCATGGTTCATGAATCAAAACGTATTTTATCGTCGTCACCGAGAGATGGCTTGAGCACGAGACCACCGATACATGAACCGTTGGAATAACGGGATGAATATGTCGAGAGGAAAAAAAAATTAAAGCCCACACGACGTCCGTTTTCTTCCGATCGAAAATTTGTCGAATAACCGCCAAAGGCAAAAAATATCATTATAATTTCATAATATTAAATTACCATGTTTTCGTGAGTTACGAGACTGATGCAGTGTGTACATATACGGCGACGCATAGCAATTGTTCCCTCACTCTACTCGAACCTTTTTGGACAATAACAAAGTCTATTAGTGATTTTACAAAAAAGTTGACCGTCGTATTGAGGGGTGATTATCCGTTTTTTAAAAACCTTTTGATCTCTTCTTACGATCTCCTCATCTTTTACGATCGTGACTTTGGATGACAGTGACTACTTATTTGGTTGTTTAGCAGCGATCAAAAAGGGACGCGTTAAAACAAATTTAGTTTTTGTTTTTCATGAACAGGAATTATAATTATAATATGTTATTCGGACGGTCGCCTGCCGCCGAGACGACGACCTCGGCCTACGGACGGCGCCTATTGAACGAAGTGTGTGTTATATATATGTAAATGGTGTACCGGCGGATAGAAAAACGAAAGCAGAATCAATTGTCCTCCCGTAAACGGATGGTCGTCGTAACTCAGACGTAGAATATAAATATATATATATATATCATAAAATAAAAAAACCGCCAACGACGAGTGGGTTGAGCGCCGAAAACAAGTGTTCTCGATATATATTACGACGGCGGCGACTAAACAGGTGGTTTTTTTACATATTATTTTGTTATACGATAACATATATTATATATTATATATTATAATATATATATATTATTTGGTGCCCACACACGCGTGCCCATCTTTACGTCCACGCATTTATAGATAATACATATAAAAAAGCTATTTATTACGGCACATCTAACCTAATAAAAGTTGATAATATTATAAAAATATGTTTCTATTTATAGTACTGGAACATCTACGATCTCATGTCAATAACTATCGGTATTTTGTGCCTAGTGGGCATTGCAGCATCCATTCTAGACATTATGTATCGGGATGATGGGGATACGTTTTGGGGATAACCATGAAATTATAGGAAAACGCCCTAAACGGCGTTGTAATATACATCATACGCCTACGTGAAGAATTATTTACATAATAAGCTGAGACTGACTGCTATATATAGTATTGTATATCTACCACCTATATCGTTTTCCGTATGGCTTATAAGTTACGCCGATGACAGAAAATCTTAAATGATCCTAGAAGAAGCTTCCGAAAACGCCTTTAGTCATATCCACTCATATCAAATATCAATATTGCTAAAATTTGGATTAACAAATAACAATTTAAAACTGTAGGTAGTTTTATGTATCCGTAAAAAAAGATATAATCGATGTTGACTTTAATTGGCACGGCGGGTAATAATAATAAATCACAACCATAGAATAAAATGGTTTTGAGAAAAATTGGTCGTAAAATGTTTGGGTTCATATAGCCGTACAGTACGCACATCGCACATGTATTTATTATAATACTGCAAGCGAGGGACTTATGAATAAAAAAAAAAACAGTATATTATATCGTCTTGTTCGATAATACAAAATTATCTTTTACGTATAATTATACCTTATCAGACCTTATACGCATATTATTATAGTATTTCACACATGTAAATTTAATTTAAGTCGGATTGCAAACAGTGCGTCATAATAACATAAAATATACTACGGCGGAGGTTCCACTTCGGTTCCGGTATAAGACAAATATTGTAGCAAACGCATTATACGTCCTCACGGTTTACTATAATAATATGACGTATATAATAATGTAGTAATATTGTTCATCTCGTGCAGTCGTGCACCTATTCATAACATGTATATAAACATAATACATGTATGTAATGCCTATAAACTCTCGCGAAAAACGCTGCACGAACCGAGGACACGCGCAATTAAGTTTAAATTGAAAATACGCACACACGAATATCCAATTTTTTACTTCTTCCGTCAATACAATGTTGTTATTATTTTTCGTTATTATAGACTATAAAGTGTCGTCATCGCCTCCGTATTTATCTATGTATAATATAATATGCAACAATTATAAACAACACATGTGATGGCGAGAGTTTAAGGACCTCGGGTTGTCTCGAATCATTAAAAGTAGAAAAAAAATTATTATTATAATAAACGGACGCTGTACTACGTAGTTACGTACTATATAACATAATGAATAATATGCGAATGTATACGTTCTTAAAATATATATTGTATAGGTAATAGGTATACATAACGATATAAATAATATTAAGATCGTGCGCGGTACTTACCATTATTACATATTATTGTTTTTTTTTTTATGTTTTGCCTCCGGACGTCGATGTATTCACGGTTCACCATCGCGGTTACCTACCAGGTTTGAACGAGAATAATATCGTATCGCATAATATTATTATGATTTTTATTATTGAAATAGACCGTTGCCGATTGAATCGTCATCATTATATTTATATTATTATACCGCGTGCCCAACTGCGGCCGATTGAGAGTCTAGACAGCCCTACCGCAGGTCTTTTCGTGAATTCAAAATATTATTTATTACGTCCGCCGATTATGATATTATGTGTGCTGCGTTCCGACGTCTGAAATATAACGTACCAATTAACCTACATAATAATTTTGCTGAACATACTTTAAAACAATTTATATTTTAGCCTTGAGAATCAAAATTTAAAAAAAAAAATTCAAGACAAACTGCTACATTGTCGATGGCAATTTTCAACAATCTCGAAAGCGCACTTGATTACAATAACCACACGTGCAAACGCTTTGGCTTAGATACTTGTATTATGCTCGTGCGTTAACTGTCCAGGCGATGTATAAACAGACCGGTTGAAATTAATCAAAATAACAGATGTAGGAATGCCGTAGGATATTTTTAAAAATGTCGTAAATACACCGAGCAGTAACACAGACTACAGTACCTAGTTATAATATTATGGTTATTAATTATTATTGATGAACTGAACTATTTTTGGGAAAATKGTGCTTTTAAAATTGTTGAAAATGTTGGAATAGACGAGGAAATACGTGGCGTATATTTTTATTATCGGTTCACTCCGATCAAACGTAATACGAGTATGACATAATATTATAATTCATAATAATAATAATGAGACGCTGGTCCCAATAACCGCGTACTTCACTATGATGTACATCATTATCGTCGCAACCATCGTATATTATGTATTAATATATTATGATATAAAAATAGATATAAACGGCCGTTAAACTCGTAGTGACTGGTTAGTCCGGTGTGTCCGCGAGACGTATAGTACACGTAATTCAATACCTATACATAGATGAAGGTACTTACCTCTGCTTACCTGCTCGCCATACTTGCGACCGGGCTTACAGTTTACACACACACACACACACACACCTGCTGCAGAACAGAGTTTCATACAGTCATGGCAGTCCGATACTGCAGCAGTCTCAACAACATATAATAATAATAATAATGGTAAGGTAACGGTATAGCCGGTAACCCGCGCCGATAGAAAAGCGCACCGCGTCTAACTTGGTAAGAGGTATATCATTAATCATTATATTTTATAAATCACGACCACGAAAATCGTTGAAAAATCTACATAATATCATACGATACATTACAATAAAACTCAAGAAATTTCTACGCGCGTGCGCATACCGCATATCCACCCCGGGGGACGTGCACATCGTTATTATCATCWTCGTCGTATTCGTCGTCGTCATAGCGAGCTTGTATGCATAATTTAATGTTATGCACGATGTCGTTTTTTATTTGAAAATGTTTTTTTTTATAATAAATTTTACATTTTTTTTCCAGGCCGATGCAACTAGATATGGCTCTGGGGAGTGCAGCTCCCACGAGCTTCCAACACCGCTGCGGGGTGACCACGGCTCTCATATTGGTCGTCTGCGTGGCACTAACAAAATCTGGTGAGTACCCACACCTTCACACCTTGTGTGATTTATTTATATAATATACGTATTATGTACAGCTCCTGTATTTTGTATCTAAAAAATGTGCTGTTTACTGATATTAATCTTTTCCCCTTAAATATAAAAAATAATACATATATTATATATACCTATAATACGATACAGCTCATCGTAACGAACCATGCGATTTCTTCGGTTTTTTTTTTTACATTTCAATAGACATCACAGTCGCATTTAAGGGATTAGCGTTGCTTTTTGTTGTGTGCTTTTCTCGGAACACTTATTCTTACTGAAACTACAAAGGATAGTAAACCATTAAAAGCTTTTTTCTTCAGGATTTAGTATAGTACCTAGTGTTTGTTTGTCACATCTGTTCGTATACCCACTCACACACAAAAATCACGGAAAACCATCTAAAAATCTATTGTTATCTCTGCAGCATGTGAGCATAAAATATACCAAAAATACTAAGCGTTTGTCCAAAGTTTAGTCAAACTATATGATGGCTTATATCTTTTATTAGGTATACTTGAATATCAGTATTTAGCTAGTAAAATGTATTTGCATAATACACAAAACCTTTTTTTATTACCATTAACATTTTTCTTCAAGTACAGTCTTACATGTTACAATCATATAATAATACTCCTATTTTTCATATTTCAATAATCTATTAATATATTGCGTTGGTTTTAAAAAGTCGGGCAATTAATATAATCCATAGATTTTTTGTTTTAAATAAATATTAATTTGAAAATTTGACTTTTTATAGGATTTTTAATACTATTTATTTCATACTCAGTACAAAATATTAGATTGATATAGACTATATAGATAATACATCGCATTTGATTGTTGTAACTTGTAGTTAAACTGAGGTGGAAAAAACCTGACAATAATATAAATACAAAAATAGGAACCAAACGTCCAAACTACATATGTATTATCAACAAAATATAACTTAAATTTTATGTTTTTGTTTATTAGTATAGGTATTAGGTATTATAGTTTTACTTTATTTAAAAAATATATAAATAATACTTTAAAGATTTCAAAGTCTGCGGTGTAAGCATATTTTGCTCATAACTTTTAATGAAGACATATTTTTAATTTCCACTTGTAATTTATACCTTACCAAAAATTAAAAGTACACAAATTGTTTATTCTCTCATAACGGTGTATATCTGTACGCACTGCAGAGGTCTAGTCGACTATRTAAGTTATAGGTGACTACTTGCTCGTACTCTGTTGTCAGCCCGCGACGGATATAAATTATATTTACGACTCGTTTATCGAAGAGCGCGCGCCTGCCGCAGCCAAAGGCATTTTATTGTCGTGTCCGTTCGCACGGTCGTTTATTCGAAAAACAAACTCATCGGACGTTGCGTCAAATCAAAATCTCTCTGTCGTCTTAGCTTCCCCGGCCGTGCATGTGCCGCGATGAATTATTCAGCGAGCCGACAACTTCACCATTTGTATAATAAATATAATATAGTTATGTCGACGGCGGCGGCGACGGCGAATACTATCCGTAGCAGCAGCTGCGGCTGTGGCGAATGAGATTTAGCATTCAATCGCTTTGGCGGCGAAATGTGCGCCACAAGTTCGCCGCAAAGACGGACGCATAACATTAAAACGACCGCCGTCGTCGTGGAGGAGAGTAAAGGTCAYGAGAGTTTAGAATTTACAGTGATGCGATTAAGGTGATTTGGAGGGTGTCATGGTGGGGTAGGATGCGCAAAATTCCCGCATCTCTCTATCTATGGACATATAATTTTCTTTTATGGTCCGACTAGGCTGCCACCGACGCGCCCGCCACCCATTGTTCCGCACACGGTTGTCGTATACGATAATATAAGTACTAGATAATAATATATTATAATATTATTGTATAAAGTATAAACCCTTTTCGTATATAAAGTGAAAAAAAAAATGTTTCGCCTTCGCCGTTCTGGGGGATGAGTAAAAAGTAGTAGTAGATTGTAGACTACAAAGACAGTCGAGTTATGTGGTATACTTACTTAACTTATATATATAATTGTGCAGCAGTAATACAAATCCACCATGAAAATATGTATCCCAGTATACCGATAGTTACCAGCCGTACAAGCTGTACACCGCCTTATATGCTCTTTACTACTCAATCGTGTTCGAGCTATTTATTTATAATAATTCTGAGCCGATGTAAAACATATATAGCTTCAGAATTAATTAAACCCTGCAGTACTGTTTAGGCGTTGAGCCTTAAACATTTAATCGGCCGAAATGAAACGTCTTTATATTATATTATCCATTCATTATTGAGGTATATATTATATGCGTCGATGATGTTACGTCGTACATACTGCAAAGGCGGCACGACGCATCAGACACTTGACTGCAAAACCGCAATGCGTCTTTCACATACAGAACAATAATAATATATTTTACGAGACATCGGATGGTGTGAAGGACAGGCGATTACGTTGCCGATGCAACTGCACACAATGCGACCGTCCATTATAGTTGCAGCGAATACCCGCGGGGCACAATAATCGGACATCCATGAACTTGGCCGTAAAACGACGTTTCACGCACAGTTCACGATTGTTGCGCAATCGGTGCACTCTGCCGACTCTCGATCATCACCACACCGGTGGGCACACAACGTTCGTGCACGTTTCACACGTTATAACAATAATAATGATAATAATAATCTACGACGCAGCAAAATATGGCAACGAGTTTAAAAATATAACGAAAATAGCAAAACCTCTCTATATTACTATATTAGTGGCCATTTTCGTGCGATCCTGTTAAAATAAATACGCGAATTTGCATGTTAAACTTACACAGGCCAACGACAGTGGAATCGAGGATTTTTTATACCGTGGACAGACGACCGGAAAAACTAGATGCTTACAGTCCTGCGAATATAGCTGCAGCATGTTACTATACGAACACAATAAATTTTACAACCAATTGTATAGTCATTTTTAATATTATATAACTGTGAGAGGGTGGATAAGGTTAAATAATTACCACGACCAGCCAAAAACGGCAACTGAATGCTAAACAGCCGAACGCATACATTTTTCGTGAAAACCGCAGTACACATGCTGCATATGTCGACCCGATGTCTATATATAATAATTTACAATATAACGTCTTATTGATGTATACGCACAATATATACAATGTATATAGACTATCTAGGTCCAAAAACTACAACTTAATGCCAGTAAATAAAAAAAAAACTAATGCTCTATACAAAAAGGAATTGTATAACTACAGGAATGAAAATAAAAATTCAGATTTGGTTGTTTTTAATACTTGAACAATTATAATAATAATAAATTATATTTAACTGTTGTAATTTCATACTATTCATGCGTTCTAAACGTATTAATTTTTTTCAGCTTTTTTACATATATATAACTCTTTACCGTCAAGGTGCCAACACAAGCATGTTAAAGGTGGTAGATATTTTTATGAAAAAAAAAAATTAATTAATATTTTGCAGAACCGCAGTGTATACGATATCATTTAAAATCTGTGTTTGCCGTTTGGTGTCTATGGCGGTGGTGTTGAAGAGTGTTAGTATRAACAATGAAGCATATTATTATTATAATACTCTCATTATGTTACGAAATCACACCGGTCATCTCGTTTCCGTGGGGCGTTTCGCGTGTCTAATATTATACCTACATAATAAAAATAACTGTTCAGACGTCCACAATGATTACATTAATATAATTAGTAATAACGAGTGCGTGCGACGGAGTTAAAATAATAATGTATATGACCCGAATTATTATTATTATTATTATAACGTTTCGGAGGGAAAAATGGATGGACGATAATACCGAAAAACGCGTTATAGCTTGTGCGTATATTATAATGTCGTGAGAAAATCCGCCGCGGACGGAAGTGTGGCCSGTGATGGACCGTTATCATAGCACACAATAATATAGGTACCATTACAAACGCGTTTCCAGAATAAATTTCGCTATAATAATAATAATATTGTAAACGCGCCGGCGGACAGCGACGGTGTCGGACGACGATGGGCCGATGGGCGTCGAAAAACATGCGCATAGATCGCGCATCGTCGTCGTTGTGGGATAACGGACCGCGTGTGAGTTGTCCGTGGCACAGGATATTGTAACTACATGAGTACCTACCTGTTGAGCGGCGGCGGCGGCGGCGGCATAATATGATTTTAATAATGCGTTGTTGACCGACCAGAGTGTTGTTGTGGACACTAATGCAGGTTACAACACGCGACGAAACACTAAATGACGAAGATGAAGCGAAAAACAATACAAATAATAATATTATTGTCAAAACGGGATGTTGACGCATATACGGCACAGTACTAATAGCTAATAATATTGTATACTCAATAAATAATAACCATGCAGATTGATGCACTTAAAGTGTCTTATAACTGTGCACACATAACTGTTAAAATGACGTCGCACCCGTACGACTGTACGAGTTGTCTCTGTAGGCTTACACACGAATAGGATAGCAAATTTTCGTTCACTAGTTTCAATGGTGTGTTGTTATTTTTGATAATATAGAATGACCTTTAAATTCAAAGGTAAAATTATTATCATCTAGGGCCTACGTAGCTTACGTAGGATTTTATTGATTAGTTAGATAAGTTCGTGGCTACGTAAAATTAGCGTCATTAACATGACGTTTATTTTCACGATTGTTGTCGGCAAATATTTTGTAGAGCCTGTAACCGTAAAAAATATAAAAATCACCTCATGTGCTCCTTGGTAACAATATACCGCGAATCTAAATTAAAAATKATCTATGTGTGCCTACTTATCAATAAATCGGTATAATAACGTCCGTTTGTTTCGGYCCATTCGTRTAAAATATAATTACTGACGTACCAACCAAGTTCATTAACGCTTATATTTAAACGTCTCGGCCGGGACGACAAAAACCACACGTATCGACGTCTCGAGGAATTTGTGCATTCTCTCAGCCATATCGTGTCTCGGAACCGTCAATTACCGCGGTCTTCGTATCTCATCTGCACCATTATACCTGTATGATTAGGTACAGGTGGTACAGCGGCTGTTATCGCGTGCAGTGTGTGCCTATCAGGAAATGCGAAATTCCACCGCATATGCAACAACCCGTCGAGTACATAACATTATTATAGACCTGCAGCGTTTCTCTCCACTCTCTCTCTCTCTCTCACTCTATTTCTCTCTGATTTATCCGTTTCTGTCGTAGTAAATCGTTATTATAATCATATTATTATATAACTAGGCATTCGTCTCTATTCCGAGACAACCGGTTCCACACCATTACGTTGTGTATAATAACAATAGTATACGTGTTTGTAAAAAATAAATAAAATTTACCGCCAATAAACTTCCAAGTATGCCTGCTGATGATGATCGTTTGTTTTACATCGCGGGACGACCCCGAACGCGGCGGCGGAGCGAGTGAAGGTGCCGTTAAATCTCGTCCGACAGCGTTGAATGTATATGATACTACATTATGATGAATATTACCTACACGTATATGCGTATTCTGCGTTGAAAATCCAACCGATTGTCCCACATCAGCTGGCCGCATGAACGATCGTCTTGAAAAATAAACGTGGCGCTGCAGATGTACAGTTATTAGAGAGATCTTCTAATGCGCGTATAAGCCGTCGATCACGTGATGGTCTGAATATCATAAGCTCGGCGACGGATCATGTAGGGAAGGGAACTGTGTGACATTAAACCTGCTATACGACCTATCGTCGGTATACCATTCGTGCMTCCAAGATCGATTCGATCGATCGAATTCCGTTTCCCATAAATCATTTATGTATACATAGCAATAACGATTATTGTCGCTACTCACGAACTCGTCGAATACAATATATACCTATGTATACCATATATAACCATAATAGTATATATGAAATGGTATGTGTACTTACGTAGAGGTGTGATTTGGAAGATTTGGTATGATATAGTGGTGCCTACAGTCTATACAATTGTATTCTACTATACACGGAACAGTATATGATATTATTTTCTACTTCCTTTTTGGGGTGGAGATGAAGGGAGATAAGTATAAAATTGTTCCAAGTTTTGCTAATTTTTAAACGTCGTTATACATACATWAACTTGTACTTATATATTATAAGTGGTATAAACATTTGAATAAAGAGATAATGTAAAAACTTAAAATAAATATTTTCCGTTTAACATTATTATTTAAAATTGTTATAAATTATAATATAAGATAGGTAATTATTATT